TCCCACTGTATGTCCTACTGTATGTCCTACTGTATGTCCTACTGTATGTCCTACTGTATGTCCTACTGTATGTCCTACTGTATGTCCCACTGTATGTCCTACTGTATGTCCTACTGTATGTCCCACTGTATGTCCTACTGTATGTCCCACTGTATGTCCCACTGTATGTCCCACTGTATGTCCTACTGTATGTCCCACTGTATGTCCTACTGTATGTCCTACTGTATGTCCTACCATTCCAAACCATTCCAAATGGTGGTGCAGCGAAGTGTACCTCCATTGCACTGCTTAAATGTAAATGTTGGGTAACATTCCACTCAATAGGCTCTGGGGCCGGGAGACCCATGGGGCGGCGCACAATTGGCCCAGCGTCGTCCAGGGTAGGGGAGGGAATGGCCGGCAGGGATGTAGCTCAGTTGGTAGAGTATGGCGTTTGCAACACCAGGTTGTGGGTTCGATTCCCACGGTGGGGCCAGTATAAAAAATTAAATAAAAATGTATTCACTAACTATAAGTTGCTCTGGATAAGAGCGTCTGCTAAAATGACTAAAATGTAAATAGGAGTGAAACAGTTGGATAGGCCTTACTAGTGTTGGATTTGGAAAGTCTCGTATTAGAAAGGTGTTATTGTAAAGTGTTGCAATGGGCAGAAATGTCTTTAGACAGCAAAATAATTCATACACACTTGCTTAACAAACCTCCAAACGAGCTTCAACGCCATACAACACTCCTTCCGTGGCCTCCAACTGCTCTTAAACACAAGTAAAACTAAATGCATGCTCTTCAATCGAACGCTGCTGGCACCCGCCCACCCGACTAGAATCACTACTCTCGGCGGGTCTGACCTAGAGTATGTGGACAACTACAAATACCTAGGTGTCTGGTTAGACTGTAAACTATCCTTCCAGACTCACATTAAGCATCTCCAATCAAAAGTTAGATCTAGAATCGGCTTCCTATTTCGCAACAAAAGCCTCCTTCACTCATGCTGCCAAACATGCCCTCGTAAAACTGACTATCCTACCGATCATTGACTTCGGCGATGTCATTTACAAAATAGCCTCCAATACTCTACTCTGCAAATTGGATGTAGTCTATCACAGTGCCATCCGTTTTGTCTCCAAAGCCCCATATACTACCCACCACTGTGACCTGTACGCTCTTGTTGGCTGGTCCTCACTACATATTCGTCGCCAAACCCACTGGCTCCAGGCCATCTATAAATCACTGCTAGGCAAATCCCCGTCTTATCTTAGCTCATTGGTCACCATAGCAGCACCCACCCGTAGTCTGCGCTCCAGCAGGTATATCTCACTGGTCATTCCCAAAGCCAACACCTCCTTTGGCCGCCATTCCTTCCAGTTCTCTGCTGCCAATGACTGGAACGAACTGCAACAATCTCTGAAGCTGGAGACACTTATCTCCCTCACTAACTTTAAGCATCAGTTGTCAGAGCACCTTACCGATCACTGCACCTGTCCACAGCCCATCTGTAATTAGCCCACCCAACTACCTCATCCCCATACTGTTATTTATTTTGCTCATTTGCACCCCAGTATCTCTATTTGCACATCATCTTCTGCACATCTATCACTCCAGTGTTAATACTAAATTGTAATTATTTTGCACTATGGGCCTATTTGTTGTCTTACCTCCATAACTTACTACATTTGCACACACTGTATATATATTTATAATGTGGATGATGTCTCCATAGTCTAGGACCAGAAGGAAAGTTGACTGAATCATCTGCTTCTACTATTTAGTGAGAGGCATTTTTCCTGCTGCTTCTATGAGCCGTTCTGGCATTGACTGAAGCACACTCCACCTCTCCCTTTAGCACACTCCACCTCACCCTTTATCACACTCCACCTCACCCTTTATCTCACTCCACCTCACCCTTTAGCACACTCCACCTCACCCTTTATCACACTCCACCTCTCCCTTTATCACACTCCACCTCTCCCTTTATCACACTCCACCTCACCCTTTATCACACTCCACCTCACCCTTTATCTGATGTCAGATATTGTAAATCTTCATCTAACATCCTAAATCATCATGTGAGAAACATGCAGTTTAAAGTCATTTGCCATTTGGAAAGGAAGATGCTACATCCATGGCAATAAATCAACACATGATTCGTGTCTGGGTTTTAACCCTAAATATATTGTAACATTTTCATTGTTTTCACAGCCCTTTGAGTAATGACAATAAGGACAGTGACCAGAGTAAAGGTAGTATTGCATGTGTGTGCTCCCGATTGGCGCAGCGGTCTAAGGTCACTGCATCTCAGTGCTTGAGGCGTCACTACAGACCCCCTGGTTGGATTCCAGGCTGTATCACAACCGGCCGTGATTGGGAGTCCCATAGGGCGGCGCACAATTGGCCCAGCATCGTCTGGGTTTGGCCGGTGTAGGTCGTCAATATAAATAAGAATTTGTTCTTAACTGACTTGCCTAGTTAAATAAAGGTTAAAAAAAATAATGCCTACTGCTTCCAGAATTATAAGATTATAATTAACAATTAGAGTAAATGTCATTCTATCTGGACCATGGATGACAGAGCTGACAATTTTAAACATATGGCTCAGTTGGTATGAGCAATACGAATACTTATATGCCAACAAAAACTAAGAATGGGCAGATTGTTTAAAAATTGTATTATCTTCATTAACAATATTCTGAATAGGATGTACACGTACTGTACATGCAGACAAGGAGGAGGTCAATAAAAAGGGGAGGGAGCTTGTCTGTATTAACCAATACACAGAGGAAGATTAGTGCTGGGGCTGGTGCAGGGCCCTCGGCCAGAGGAAACAAGGACAAGGAAACATACTTCTACTTCTTCTGACAGAGCAGGCTGACTGACTGACAAGACAGGACAGAAAGAACTGTTGGGCGGGCACAGGGTGACAGTTTGCCCATCTGGGTGACACATATAGTATGAAGGGATGGGTGGATGGAGGGATGGGTGGATGGAGGGATGGGTGGATGGAGGGATGGGTGGATGGAGGGATGGGTGGATGGAGGGATGGGTGGATGGAGTGATGGGTGGATGGAGGGATGGGTGGATGGAGGGATGGGTGGATGGAGGGATGGGTGGATGGAGGGATGGAGGGATGGATGGAGGGATGGAGGGATGGGTGGATGGAGGGATGGGTGGATGGAGGGATGGGTGGATGGAGGGATGGGTGGATGGAGGGATGGAGGGATGGATGGAGGGATGGAGGGATGTGTTTGTTTGATGAAGCGTTTGAGGGACTATGTGGATAATTCTCTATGAAATACGTTTCACACATTTTAGGTCTAAGAGTTGAGTTGACACTAGAAGGGGCCTTGTATGAGGGTCAACTTCCCCTTTATTAGATAACTGGTTATTCACTGGCTGGCTTTTTGTTTCTACACATATATACTGCTGAATGTGTTGACCATGTACTGCTGAATGTGTTGACCATATACTGCTGAATGTGTTGACCATGTACTGCTGAATGTGTTGACCATGTCCTGCTGAATGTGTTGACCATGTCCTGCTGAATGTGTTGACCATGTCCTGCTGAATGTGTTGACCATGTCCTGCTGAATGTGTTGACCATATACTGCTGAATGTGTTGACCATATACTGCTGAATGTGTTGACCATATACTGCTGAATGTGTTGACCATATACTGCTGAATGTGTTGACCATGTCCTGCTGAATGTGTTGACCATATACTGCTGAATGTGTTGACCATATACTGCTGAATGTGTTGACCATGTCCTGCTGAATGTGTTGACCATGTCCTGCTGAATGTGTTGACCATATACTGCTGAATGTGTTGACCATGTCCTGCTGAATGTGTTGACCATGTCCTGCTGAATGTGTTGACCATATACTGCTGAATGTGTTGACCATATACTGCTGAATGTGTTGACCATATACTGCTGAATGTGTTGACCATATACTGCTGAATGTGTTGACCATGTCCTGCTGAATGTGTTGACCATATACTGCTGAATGTGTTGACCATATACTGCTGAATGTGTTGACCATGTCCTGCTGAATGTGTTGACCATGTCCTGCTGAATGTGTTGACCATATACTGCTGAATGTGTTGGCCATGTACTGCTGAATGTGTCATGTGGTGATATAGACATGCTGAATGACCAGCCTTCACAACAAGATACTCACAAGACTATTTGTATTTGGTGTTGTATAACTGTTTTATACACGCCATCTTGTTGTGTCTGTTACAGCAGGAAGAACCACTAAACCAATATCACTCTCTACAAAAGCAGCCATGTCATTATCACGGTTCATAATAAACGTGTTCTTAGGTGTCTTGATGTTTCCTGTCGTGGAGGAAGGAAGTGGAGCACAGCAGCTGGGCCCACTGCCATCTCTGTATTTCAGGGCTGTTTATCAGAATAGGGAAGCGAAACCTTTCCACTGTAATACATGCAGTTTAATGTATCTCTAGCACTTTCTAAACTGGTAAAAAGCACCCCATGCTCAAACTAAATGCAACAGGGAACACTTCTAATAAAGACCAGATATGGCCCCTGGACCACCCATACGTAAAAATGTATGCACACATGACTGTAAATCGCTTTGGATAAAAGCGTCTGCTAAATGGCATATTATTATTATTATTATTATTAGATAGACTAGTGGGGACTATCGCACCCATGCCACCAGTTTAGCGACTGAGGTGATGGGGAATGGCTGTAACAGGGCCTGACTAAAATTGTGGGGCTAGCACATTACCTGTGCCGAAAATTAGATTTTTCTTTTTCTAATCTGGGTAAATAAACCACGTCTCTTCCCTGTGTGACGCAGGCAGGTCTTGATCAATCATTTCCTCATGCTCTGTCAATGGGAAATTCGTTTTGCATGGCCGGGTATCCCGGTACGGAGTATGTTCATTTTAGAACATTCCATTGGTCCTTAAGTGAAATCTCCACTCACCCCGGGGCACCGGGCCATGCGGTCTCTCCCTGGGCCATCCCCCCTGGTCACGCCTCAACAGAAGTCTCAGTCGTTTTTAGTACATGCATTCATAAACTTTCACAACAACCGAAGACCTCAGAAATTTAACAGTAATTTTAGTTTGGACAGATCTATTTCTGGCGGCTTGAATGACAAATCAAATGTCTTGATTTGACTCGAATAAGGAGCGGTTTCGGTTTGTATAATTTTACGCATTTCTAAGAACTAGAAACGACTATTTCCTTCAATATGTCAGCTTCGTGGAAGTCTAGTTTAGACCTGGGGAGTATTCCATTGAGAGCGCTGAATATCAACGTGAGAAAAAGATTGGGACTGTTTTTAAATCCGAGAAACACTGTGGCATCAGACTGGATGTCTGTCGCAGAGAACATGGGCTTCTCTTATTTAGAGATCAAGAATTACGAGGATTGCCAGGACCCGACACGGAAGATTCTAGAGGACTGGCAATCACGTTGTCCCGGAGCTAAAGTTGGAAAGTTAGTTTCAATTCTGGATAACGTGGACAGAAAAGATGTTGTGGAGGATCTTCGAGATCTCATTGGTAGGTGAACTGTCAACTCTGCTTTTTATTGATAAATAATATGACATGTAATCATCTATAAATTATGAGTGAAACCTGTATTTTGTATTCTGAAATGTGTTATTACAGACATGTTATACATTAATTACAAAGTAACCTTTAGTTGAAGTGTCATTAATTATGATGACCTAATATTGAAATAATTGCTGAGAAACTTGACCCGTTTGTGTGTGTGTGAATGTCTCTGTGTGTGTGTGTGTGTGTGTGTGTGTGTGTTTGTTTGTGGGCGTGCGTGCGCGCTTATGTGTGTATTTCTGGGTATGTCTGGGTGTATGCACATCTCTGTGTGCATAGAGGAGGACTGTAGGAGGTACATAGAGAGACAGAATGAGCCCCCAGTCCAGGTGCCTGAGGTGGACAGCTGTGTCCCCAGAACCCCAGAGCGACAAGGCATCACCCTGGAGGATGACCCACAAGGTAATATAATGCAAATAATGTCACACCTGATAGGTCTGCAGAACACTGTTATCCAATAATAACACTAGTGTTACATACTGTTGGTCTGTAGAACACTGTTATCCAATAATAACACTAGTGTTACATACTGTTGGTCTGTAGAACACTGTTATCCAATAATAACACTAGTGTTACATACTGTTGGTCTGTAGTACACTGTTATCCAATAATAACACTAGTGTTACATACTGTTGGTCTGTAGAACACTGTTATCCAATAATAACACTAGTGTTACATACTGTTGGTCTGTAGAACACTGTTATCCAATAATAACACTAGTGTTACATACTGTTGGTCTGTAGTACACTGTTATCCAATAATAACACTAGTGTTACATACTGTTGGTCTGTAGTACAATGTTATCTAATAATAACACTAGTGTTACATACTGTTGGTCTGTAGTACAATGTTATCTAATAATAACACTAGTGTTACATACTGTTGGTCTGTAGTACAATGTTATCTAATAATAACACTAGTGTTACATACTGTTGGTCTGTAGAACACTGTTATCCAATAATAACACTAGTGTTACATTCTGTAGAACACTGTTATCCAATAATAACACTAGTGTTACATACTGTTGGTCTGTAGAACACTGTTATCCAATAATAACACTAGTGTTACATACTGTTGGTCTGTAGAACACTGTTATCCAATAATAACACTAGTGTTACATACTGTTGGTCTGTAGTACACTGTTATCCAATAATAACACTAGTGTTACATACTGTTGGTCTGTAGTACAATGTTATCTAATAATAACACTAGTGTTACATACTGTTGGTCTGTAGTACAATGTTATCTAATAATAACACTAGTGTTACATACTGTTGGTCTGTAGTACAATGTTATCTAATAATAACACTAGTGTTACATACTGTTGGTCTGTAGTACACTGTTATCAATAATAACACTAGTGTTACATACTGTTGGTCTGTAGAACACTGTTATCCAATAATAACACTAGTGTTACATACTGTTGGTCTGTAGAACACTGTTATCCAATAATAACACTAGTGTTACATACTGTTGGTCTGTAGAACACTGTTATCCAATAATAACACTAGTGTTACATACTGTTGGTCTGTAGAACACTGTTATCCAATAATAACACTAGTGTTACATACTGTTGGTCTGTAGAACACTGTTATCCAATAATAACACTAGTTGTTACATACTGTTGGTCTGTAGAACATGTTATCCAATAATAACACTAGTGTTACATACTGTTGGTCTGTAGAACACTGTTATCCAATAATAACACTAGTGTTACATACTGTTGGTCTGTAGACACTGTTATCCAATAATAACACTAGTGTTACATACTGTTGGTCTGTAGTACAACTGTTATCCAATAATAACACTAGTGTTACATACTGTTGGTCTGTAGTACAATTATTATATAACACTGTGTACTACTTTGGTCTCAACTGTTACTGACTATACCATGTCATACTTGTCTGTACATGTACTCCAATATAACACTGTGTTACATACTTGTCTGTGAACACTGTTATCCAATAATAACACTAGTGTTACATACTGTTGGTCTGTGTACCCTGTTATCCATAATAACCACTAGTGTTACATACTGTTGGTCTGATAGATCTATTTATTTGCAATGTACACACGTCCATCGAATCTGTTGACTTCCATCATTGCATACCCCTCTAAAGGCTCCTCTGTCTCCTGATGTTGAGTCCCCTCTCTCCTCTCTTCCTGATGTTGAGTCCCCTCTCTCCTCTCTCTCTTCTGATGTTGAGTCCCTCTCCTCTCCTCTGTCTCCTGATGTTGAGTCCCCTCTCCTCCTCTGTCTCCTGATGTTGAGTCCCCTCTCTCCTCTGTCTCCTGATGTTGAGTCCCCTCTCTCCTCTCTCTCCTGATGTTGAGTCCCCTCTCTCCTCTCTCTCCTGATGTTGAGTCCCCTCTCTCCTCTCTCCTCTGTCTCCTGATGTTGAGTCCCCTCTCTCCTCTGTCTCCTGATGTTGAGTCCCCCCTCTCCTCTGTCTCCTGATGTTGAGTCTCCTCTCTCCTCTGTCTCCTGATGTTGAGTCCCCTCTCTCCTCTGTCTCCTGATGTTGAGTCCCCCCTCTCCTCTGTCTCCTGATGTTGAGTCCCCTCTCTCCTCTCTCCTCTGTCTCCTGATGTTGAGTCTCCTCTCTCCTCTGTCTCCTGATGTTTGAGTCCCCTCTCTCCTCTGTCTCCTGATGTTGAGTCCCCTCTCTCCTCTGTCTCCTGATGTTGAGTCTCCTCTCTCCTCTGTCTCCTGAGTTGAGTCTCCTCTCTCCTCTGTCTCCTGATGTTGAGTTACCCTCCTCTCCTCTGTCTCCTTGATGTTGAGTCCCCTCTCTCCTCTCTCCTCTGTCTCCTGATGTTGAGTCCCCTCTCTCCTCTGTCTCCTGATGTTGAGTCCCCTCTCTCCTCTGTCTCCTGATGTTGAGTCCCCCCTCTCCTCTGTCTCCTGATGTTGAGTCCCCTCTCTCCTCTCTCCTCGTCTCCTGATGTTGAGTCTCCTCTCTCCTCTGTCTCCTGATGTTGAGTCCCCTCTCTCCTCTCTCTCCTGATGTTGAGTCCCCTCTCTCCTCTGTCTCCTGATGTTGAGTCCCCTCTCTCCTCTCTCTCCTGATGTTGAGTCCCCTCTCTCCTCTGTCTCCTGATGTTGAGTCCCCCCTCTCCTCTCTCTCCTGATGTTGAGTCCCCTCTCTCCTCTCTCCTCTGTCTCCTGATGTTGAGTCTCCTCTCTCCTCTGTCTCCTGATGTTGAGTCCCCTCTCTCCTCTGTCTCCTGATGTTGAGTCCCCCCTCTCCTCTGTCTCCTGATGTTGAGTCCCCTCTCTCCTCTCTCCTCTGTCTCCTGATGTTGAGTCCCCCTCTCTCCTCTGTCTCCTGATGTTGAGTCCCCTCCTCCTCTCTCCTCTGTCTCCTGATGTTGATTTCTTCCCTCTCTCTCCTGCTCTCCTCTCTCTCCTGATGTTGAGTCCCCTCTCTCCTCTCTCCTCTGTCTCCTGATGTTGAGTCCCCTCTCTCCTCTCTCCTCTGTCTCCTGATGTTGAGTCCCCTCTCTTCTCTCCTCTGTCTCCTGATGTTGAGTCCCCTCTCTCCTCTGTCTCTGATGTCCCTGATTGTCTCCGATCCTCCTCCTCTCCTCTGTCTCCTGATGTTGAGTCTCCTCTCTCCTCTGTCTCCTGATGTTGATCCCTCTCTCCTCTCTCTCTTTCCTGATGTTGAGTCCCCTCTCTCCTCTGTCTCCTGATGTTGAGTCCCCTCCTCTCCTCCTCTCCTTGATGTTGAGTCCCCTCTCTCCTCTGTCTCCTGATGTTGAGTCCCCTCTCTCCTCTCTCTCCTGATGTTGAGTCCCCTCTCTCCTCTCTCCTCGCTCTGATGTTGAGTCCCTCTCTCCTCTGTCTCCTGATGTTGAGTCCCCTCTCTCCTCTCTCTCCTGATGTTGAGTCCCCTCTCTCCTCTGTCTCCTGATGTTTGAGTCCCCTCCTCTCCCTCTCTCCCTGATGTTGAGTCCCCCCCTCTCTCCTCTGTCTCCTGATGTTGAGTCCCCTCTCTCCTCTCTCTCCTGATGTTGAGTCCCCTCTCTCCTCTCTCCTCTGTCTCCTGATGTTGAGTCTCCTCTCTCCTCTGTCTCCTGATGTTGAGTCCCCTCTCTCCTCTGTCTCCTGATGTTGAGTCCCCCTCTCTCCTCTGTCTCCTGATGTTGAGTCCCCTCTCTCCTCTCTCTTCTGTCTCCTGATGTTGAGTCCCCTCTCTCCTCTGTCTCCTGATGTTGAGTCCCCTCTCTCCTCTCTCCTCTGTCTCCTGATGTTGAGTCCCCTCTCTCCTCTCTCCTCTCTCTCCTGATGTTGAGTCCCCTCTCTCCTCTCTCCTCTGTCTCCTAATGTTGAGTCTCCTCTCTCCTCTGTCTCCTGATGTTGAGTCTCCTCTCTCCTCTGTCTCCTGATGTTGAGTCTCCTCTCTCCTCTCTCTCCTGATGTTGAGTCTCCTCTCTCCTCTGTCTCCTGATGTTGAGTCCCCCCTCTCCTCTCTCTCCTGATGTTGAGTCCCTTCTCTCCTCTCTCCTCTGTCTCCTGATGTTGAGTCCCCTCTCTCCTCTCTCCTCTGTCTCCTGATGTTGAGTCCCTTCTCTCCTCTCTCCTCTGTCTCCTGATGTTGAGTCTCCTCTCTCCTCTGTCTCCTGATGTTGAGTCTCCTCTCTCCTCTGTCTCCTGATGTTGAGTCTCCTCTCTCCTCTGTCTCCTGATGTTGAGTCCCCCCTCTCCTCTGTCTCCTGATGTTGAGTCTCCTCTCTCCTCTCTCTCCTCTCTCCAGGGGGTGTACCGGAGCTGTTTGATGCCTTCATCTGCTACTGTCTAAGTGACTTTGACTTTGTCCATGAGATGATCCAGCAGTTGGAGCAGACGGACCACAAGTTGAAGCTGTGTGTGTTTGACCGGGACGTCCTGCCTGGATCCTGTGTTTGGACCATCACCAGCGAACTCATCGAGAAGAGGCAAGTTGAGGCCCTGCTCCCTTTGGCATCTTCAAGATCCACAGCCACTTATTGGCTGTGTTCTGTTTCTGTTATAATTGTTCATACTCATGTTTTCCGCATTTTATTAGCTCAAGCCATGGGTTCTGCTATGCTAATGCCATGGGTTCTGCTATGCTAATGCCATGGGTTCTGCTATGCTAATGCCATGGGTTCTGCTATGCTAATGCCATGGGTTCTGCTATGCTAATGCCATGGGTTCTGCTATGCTAATGCCATGGGTTCTGCTATGCTAATGCCATGGGTTCTGCTATGCTAATGCCATGGGTTCTGCTATGCTAATGCCATGGGTTCTGCTATGCTAATGCCATGGGTTCTGCTATGCTAATGCCATGGGTTCTGCTATGCTAATGCCATGGGTTCTGCTATGCTAATGCCATGGGTTCTGCTATGCTAATGCCATGGGTTCTGCTATGCTAATGCCATGGGTTCTGCTATGCTAATGCCATGGGTTCTGCTATGCTAATGCCATGGGTTCTGCTATGCTAATGCCATGGGTTCTGCTATGCTCAAGCCATGGGTTCTGCTATGCTAATGCCATGGGTTCTGCTATGCTAATGCCATGGGTTCTGCTATGCTAATGCCATGGGTTCTGCTATGCTAATGCCATGGGTTCTGCTATGCTAATGCCATGGGTTCTGCTATGCTAATGCCATGGGTTCTGCTATGCTAATGCCATGGGTTCTGCTATGCAAAAACGTGCTGCAGCTAATGTCTGGATGTGTTTATTGTTATCTTGTAGGTGTTAGAGGATGGTGGTTATGACTGGATCAAACTGTATGTTGTTGATCTGTAGGTGTTAGAGGATGGTGGTCATGACTGGATCAAACTGTATGTTGTTGATCTGTAGGTGTTAGAGGATGGTGGTTATGACTGGATCAAACTGTATGTTGTTGATCTGTAGGTGTAAGAGGATGGTGGTGGTGATATCTGATGAGTACCTGGACAGTGATGCCTGTGACTTCCAGACCAAGTTCGCCCTCAGTCTCTGCCCTGGTAAGTCTCTGCCCTGGTAAGAGTCTGTCCTGGTAAGTCTCTGTCCTGGTAAGTCTCTGTCCTGGTAAGTCTCTGCCCTGGTAAGTCTCTGTCCTGGTAAGTCTCTGTCCTGGTAAGTCTCTGCCCTGGTAAGTCTCTGCCCTGGTAAGAGTCTGTCCTGGTAAGTCTCTGCCCTGGTAAGAGTCTGTCCTGGTAAGTCTCTGCCCTGGTAAGTCTCTGCCCTGGTAAGTCTCTGTCCTGGTAAGTCTATCACTCAGTAACATATTGTTGCTCTGTAGGTGTTTTACAATCTTGTGATAGATCAGATCTGCTTCCACTGACTTTTCTGTGACCTATTTCCATTTCCTGTGGTATTGGTTTTTCTCATTTTACATTTTACTCATTTCGCAGACGCTCTTATCCAGAGCGACTTACATGTAGTGAGTGCATAAATTTTTCATACTGGCCCCCCGTGGGAATCGAACCCACAACCCTGGCGTTGCAAGCGCCATGCTCTACCAACTGAGCTACAGGAGGCCTACAAATGTCATGAATGTCATGGCAGGTTGTTGTAGTGTTATCTGTAGCTCCTTAATGTCATGGCAGGTTGTTGTAGTGTTATCTGTAGCTCCTTAATGTCATGGCAGGTTGTTGTAGTGTTATCTGTAGCTCCTTAATGTCATGGCAGGTTGTTGTAGTGTTATCTGTAGCTCCTTAATGTCATGGCAGGTTGTTGTAGTGTTATCTGTAGCTCCTTAATGTCATGGCAGGTTGTTGTAGTGTTATCTGTAGCTCCTTAATGTCATGGCAGGTTGTTGTAGTGTTATCTGTAGCTCAGTACCATTTAGCATCCATCTCCTCTCTGAAACCCCTCCCAGGTGCGCGGAGCAAGCGGCTGATCCCTGTGGTGTACCGGTCTATGAAGAAACCTTTCCCCAGTATCCTGAGGTTCCTGACTGTGTGCGACTACACACGACCCTGTACACAGTCCTGGTTCTGGGTCCGGCTGGCCAGGGCTCTCTCCCTGCCCTGATTGGATCGTACAGACTCACAGCAACCAATCATCACAGGGGGCCTGCCCCTCTACAGCGGGGAACAGGAAGAGGAAGTCTCAGCTTGGTGGTACTGGTACTCTGCTGGGGGACCGCTAATAGCTACAGTGTGGGAGTTTAGTTTAGTTGACATATTTTATATTGATTAATTTCTTGGTTAGAACAGTTTCTGTATTGTACATACTACTTTGAATAGACAAGATGAGACTTGTTGCAGTGTTCTGAAACCACAGATGGAGGACATTGTTCCTGGGGGACTCTCCCTCTCTCATCCTCAGCACTGAGAGACTGACGGCTGTTTCACTCATTACTGATACATTGATTTGGTTTTAATATGATATTTTATTCCACTGTAAGCGTTTAATATGTTTTTAATACGATATTTTATTCTGAGCCCCATTGCTCATATGGACCAAATATCAACAGCGGAAGGAATATTGTATATATCAAATGGTTGGCAACACATTTTACAATAATTTAGCTATTTGTTTGTGGAGCCATCATCTCTCTGAGGTGGAGGTGATTTTGAAAAATGTTGTCTGTGCACAAAGCATGTAAAACTGTTACAATCTCATCCTATCCGACGTGTCAGCTCTTTAGTTTCAACATCCTCCTTCCTCCTGTCATGGCGGCCATGTTGTCTCCTTCAGATGAGAGATATCGGCCTGTGACTTCCTCCTGTCATGGCGGCCATGTTGTCTCCTTCAGATGAGAGATATCGGCCTGTGACTTCCTCCTGTCATGGCGGCCATGTTGTCTCCTTCAGATGAGAGATATCGGCCTGTGACTTCCTCCTGTCATGGCGGCCATGTTGTCTCCTTCAGATGAGAGATATCGGCCTGTGACTTCCTCCTGTCATGGCGGCCATGTTGTCTCCTTCAGTACGGAGCAGAGAGACTGACTGCCACCAGCCACATTCACCACACTTCTCACCCTGATGTGTAAATTTATGAAGCTGTATAAATCCACCAAAACCTAAATCTATCAATACTGTAAAAAATTTAAAGAAATTGGAGAAGGACGGGAAGTGAAAAGGGGACTTTGTCAGTAATGTAACTCTGGACATTTCCAAATGGACTCATACTGCGTTACTCATGCATACTGTGACTGTCTCTCTCGTAACTACTGTATGTATATTTGGTCTTCATTTCATCTGCACTGTGTGATTTTATATTTTTAAAAAAATCTTTATTAAGCTTCCTAATGTCTACCAGCTTGCTTCCTATAATGGCATGACAATGGTCCTCTGTAGCTCAATTGGTAGAGCAGGGCGCTCGTAACGCCAGGGTAGTGGGTTCGATCCCCGGGACCACCCATACGTAAAAATGTATGCACACATGACTGTAAGTCGCTTTGGATAAAAGCGTCTGCTAAATGGCATATTATTATTATTGTTATCATTACAATTACTTTCAGTATTGTAGCTAGTGAGTCACACAGTAGGGCAATGCAGCAGTACTACAAGGTGGCAGCAGATGTCCCAGTATTTGGACATGGAGGCCTACTATAGCAGAGTCAGGAATCTCATCGCTCACACATGCGGATTCAAAACTGTATTAGAAAATATAATCTGCGCTCAAGTAACCAATTTTGTCTTGACATGAGCTGCATGTTTTAGTTTATTATGGATCCCCAGTAGCTACCGCACATACAGCAGCTACTCTTCCTGGGGTTTATTATGGATCCCCAGTAGGTACAGCACATGCAGCAGCTACTCTTCCTGGGGTTTATTATGGATCCCCATTAGTTCCTGCCAAGGCAGAAGCTACTCTTCCTGGGGTTTATTATGGATCCCCATTAGTTCCTGCCAAGGCAGCGGCTACTCTTCCTGGGGTTTATTATGGATCCCCATTAGTTCCTGCCAAGGCAGCAGCTACTCTTCCTGGGGTTTATTATGGATCCCCATTAGTTCCTGCCCAGGCAGCAGCTACTCTTCCTGGGGTTTATTATGGATCCCCATTAGATACTGCACATGCAGCAGCTACTCTTCCTGGGGTTTATTATGGATCCCCATTAGTTCCTGCCAAGGCAGCAGCTACTCTTCCTGGGGTTTATTATGGATCCCCATTAGTTCCTGCCAAGGCAGCGGCTACTCTTCCTGGGGTTTATTATGGATCCCCATTAGTTCCTGCCAAGGCAGCAACTACTCTTCCTGGGGTTTATTATGGATCCCCATTAGTTCCTGCCAAGGCAGCAGCTACTCTTCCTGGGGTTTATTATGGATCCCCATTAGTTCCTGCCAAGGCAGCAGCTACTCTTCCTGGGGTTTATTATGGATCCCCATTAGTTCCTGCCAAGGCAGCAGCTACTCTTCCTGGGGTTTATTATGGATCCCCATTAGTTCCTGCCAAGGCAGCAGCTACTCTTCCTGGGGTTTATTATGGATCCCCATTAGTTCCTGCCAAGGCAGCAGCTACTCTTCCTGGGGTTTATTATGGATCCCCATTAGTTCCTGCCAAGGCAGCAGCTACTCTTCCTGGGGTTTATTATGGATCCCCATTAGTTCCTGCCAAGGCAGCAGCTACTCTTCCTGGGGTTTATTATGGATCCCCATTAGTTCCTGCCAAGGCAGCAGCTACTCTTCCTGGGGTTTATTATGGATCCCCATTAGTTCCTGCCAAGGCAGCAGCTACTCTTCCTGGGGTTTATTATGGATCCCCATTAGTTCCTGCCAAGGCAGCAGCTACTCTTCCTGGGGTTTATTATGGATCCCCATTAGTTCCTGCCAAGGCAGCAGCTACTCTTCCTGGGGTTTATAATGGATCCCCATTAGATACTGCACATGCAGCAGCTACTCTTCCCGGGGTCCACGTAAAACGTACAAATACATGACAAAGCACAGAACAGTTATAGACAATAACAACATATGATATTACAATACATTAAAAATAAAAAATATATAAATAAAATAAGAGTTATAAATAGGAAAGACACCAAGAGACAACTAAAATACTATTTACACACTATTCATATATACATATTAATATATATTATTATTAATATATATTATGTTATATACAGTACAGTTAAATTAAATCTTTAGAAAGAGGAGAGGCGCTGCGATACAACATGTTTTTTAAAGCTAAACCTGCTTTTTGCCGGAATAACCTCTGGTGGCAGAGCATTCCACGATGACATGGCTCTATACATAACTGAGTGTCCTCTGGTGGCAGAGCATTCCATGATGACATGGCTCTATACATAACTGAGTGTCCTCTGGTGGCAGAGCATTCCATGATGACATGGCTCTATACATAACTGAGTATCCTCTGGTGGCAGAGCATTCCAGGATGACATGGCTCTATACATAACTGAGTATCCTCTGGTGGCAGAGCATTCCATGATGACATGGCTCTATACATAACTGAGTATCCTCTGGTGGCAGAGCATTCCATGAATGGAACAATGAGTATCCTCTGTGGCAGAGCATTCCATGATGACAGGCTAAACTGAGTATCCTCTGGTGGCAGAGCATTCCATGATGACATGGCTCTATACATAACTGAGTATCCTCTGGTGGCAGAGCATTCCACGATGACATGGCTCTATACATAACTGAGTATCCTCTGGTGGCAGAGCATTCCAGGATGACATGGCTCTATACATAACTGAGTATCCTCTGGTGGCAGAGCATTCCAGGATGACATGGCTCTATACATGACTGAGTATCCTCTGGTGGCAGAGCATTCCAGGATGACATGGCTCTATACATAACTGAGTATCCTCTGGTGGCAGAGCATTCCAGGATGACATGGCTCTGTACATAACTGAGTATCCTCTGGTGGCAGAGCATTCCAGGATGACATGGCTCTATACATAACTGAGTATCCTCTGGTGGCAGAGCATTCCATGATGACATGGCTCTATACATAACTGAGTATCCTCTGGTGGCAGAGCATTCCAGGATGACATGGCTCTATACATAACTGAGTGTCCTCTGGTGGCAGAGCATTCCATGATGACATGGCTCTATACATAACTGAGTGTCCTCTGGTGGCAGAGCATTCCATGATGACATGGCTCTATACATAACTGAGTATCCTCTGGTGGCAGAGCATTCCAGGATGACATGGCTCTATACATAACTGAGTATCCTCTGGTGGCAGAGCATTCCATGATGACATGGCTCTATACATAACTGAGTATCCTCTGGTGGCAGAGCATTCCATGATGACATGGCTCTATACATAACTGAGTATCCTCTGGTGGCAGAGCATTCCATGATGACATGGCTCTATACATAACTGAGTATCCTCTGGTGGCAGAGCATTCCAGGATGACATGGCTCTATACATAACTGAGTATCCTCTGGTGGCAGAGCATTCCAGGATGACATGGCTCTATACATAACTGAGTATCCTCTGGTGGCAGAGCATTCCAGGATGACATGGCTCTATACATGACTGAGTATCCTCTGGTGGCAGAGCATTCCAGGATGACATGGCTCTATACATAACTGAGTATCCTCTGGTGGCAGAGCATTCCAGGATGACATGGCTCTGTACATAACTGAGTATCCTCTGGTGGCAGAGCATTCCAGGATGACATGGCTCTATACATAACTGAGTATCCTCTGGTGGCAGAGCATTCCAGGATGACATGGCTCTATACATAACTGAGTATCCTCTGGTGGCAGAGCATTCCAGGATGACATGAATCTATACATAATTGAGTATCCTCTGGTGGCAGAGCATTCCATGATGACGTGGCTCTATACATAACTGAGTATCCTCTGGTGGCAGAGCATTCCATGATGACATGGCTCTATACATAACTGAGTATCCTCTGGTGGCAGAGCATTCCAGGATGACATGGCTCTATACATAACTGAGTATCCTCTGGTGGCAGAGCATTCCAGGATGACATGGCTCTATACATAACTGAGTATCCTCTGGTGGCAGAGCATTCCAGGATGACATGGCTCTATACATAACTGAGTATCCTCTGGTGGCAGAGCATTCCATGATGACATGGCTCTATA